TAAAGGAATGAGAACAATTGATGAACAGAATCCACTGAGTAAGGGGGGCAATGATACCGCCTGGCTGTCTACTCCACCGGTCGGTAGATGAGTACCCCGCTCCCCACCTATAAACTGTCTCTCACAGAACTACATTAGAATGCCAACTCATACGAAATACATAAGCCTCACTACACACACACACACATACACACAAGTGTTATTGGGTAATGACCAAGTTGAAATTTCAATAATCTTTACATTTTCGTGGTTAATCAGCTGAGACACACAAATGCGTTCGTTGAGGTCATACTAAGCATTACATAATAATGCTAACAACCACATCGGACCTCTGAATACCATCCATCATGTTTAGGCGAAGAACTAATAACTGAATTGAAAAATGGCATATAAACCTAAATTATCTTGTTGATATGAGACATCAAAGTCAATAAAGCTTTTAAAGTTATTTGTCGTATCTTATCTAACCTCGCTCTCAAGCTATACTAGTCCCATTTCTTACCTGTAGCCCAGTCAATTGGAGTTCGTTTGAATAAGCCAAATGTGTGTGTGCTCCAAAGTAGATTTTCACAACCCTCTTCTTTCTTTTAACCGTCCATATACTATGTGTACAGAGGTTTAAAAACGTTTCTTTTCCCATAACTTTATAATTATATCAAGAGTTAGTTTATAAGGAGATTTGATTTGTTTAAAGTTCGATCACGGATTATTATCAGTCAGTGAACCATTGGAAACCAGCTGGGAGTATAATGAACAGATATTTCTTCCATTATTAGATGTATCACACAGTGAAACAGTATTATTTACTGGATGACACAGTTTCGAACAAAATTTATGCATGTGAAATATGCGCAAAACACCAACAACAATAAGGAATCTAAATCATCAGTAGTAATTCCATACATGAAAGGAACCTCGGAAACCACCTTACACAGAATTCTTAACAAGGCAGGAATAAAAGTGGCTGACAGTCAAACCAACCACAAACTCAATTAGAAACAAGCTTTGTCGGTTAAAGGATAAATCCTGTAGAGCCTTTTAAACAAAACAGTTTAGTTTATCTGATACCCTGCCTGCAATGATTGTCGGGTCAAATATATAGGTCAAAGTAGTAGAACAGGTGCAGTCAGTCAGACTAGCTGAGCATAAAAACCTTACAGCGAAATCTAGATTGGTTGACCCCACTAATAAGATAAGAAATCTAGAGAATAGTTCAGCTATAGAGCACTCACTACATGCAGTTACACACAACCACACAATAGGATAGATGGAATAAGATGACAGTTTTAAAATCTAATATAACAGCTGGGTGGAGGGAGAGATTGATAAGAGAAGCCTTGTTTATCGAATCAACTACAAATACATGTAATAGGAATGATTCAACACCTGTCCAGTTGGACATATGGAAAATTCTACTACCCCAACGACAACAAATAGGAGAGGACAAAGAAAACTATAAAACTCAAGTTTCCAAGTCGTGTGATTATAATTGAAGATATGATTATGAACAATAATAAATTTTGTTCGAAACTTTGTCATCCAGTAAATAATAATACTGTTTCACTGTGTGATACATCTAATAAACAAACTATTATGTAATTACTTACTACCACCGTGCCCAAGTTTTACACATATGTTGATATTTCTTCCTGGTTTGGGACTTATCGGCAGTACGCATCCACCAGCGCTAGAATCCACTACCTTCCCATTTACAAGTCAGGCTCGTAGACCATTCAACACCACCACCACTGGTACGCAACTCGCTCAACGGCAAGTTCATGAATTCTACCAATTCGTGATTTTTATTTTTACCGCCACCACCGCAGCGGCCATCATTATGTTATCAACTGACCTTAAGCATCATTATTATATTGCATTACTTGAGTTATAAGAAAAAGCCTCAATTTTTGAAATTTCATGGATGAGATATTCTTTCTAGGGGATAGAGTTTCAAGCTTCCTACCTATCCGTATCCTTCACTTATTTCTGAGCTTGCTACCGATTAGTCAACTAGGCGACGCTAGCAAGTGCATCGGACGGGAATCGAAGCCGCATCTGCATGGTGTCTAACGAGCATTCTTATCATTGTATTACAGATGTACATTATTATTATTGTTATTATTATTATTATTTCTAATACCCAATTATTTAGTTCAACCTCTTCAAATCTTGGTTTTCGTCTATCCATTGGTGAAACTTCCATGCATGTATCATTTAAAACGGGATATATAATCGATCGGCAACACATTTTTAGACGGCAACTTATCATCAGGAAGTTGAAAGAAAACGACTGAGTCACTAGCAAATTAGTTTTCACATCAGAAGAAAACAGTATCACGTGAGTTGAGCATTTTACTGTTTCCACGTCAATTAGACATATCAAAACTGAAAGAAAACATACGCCAATGAATATTAGTTAACTTTCTTGTTTTTATTATAACCAGCCTTCACCCTTATTTAATTTCTACAGTTACACATCTCATCCACTTGTATTAATAATAATAACTGCTAGATTATTAAACTTTTTTAAGTATCCTTCTATTGATTAATTTATTATTATTGTTGTATCCTTTAGTTCCTAAAGGAACATAGGGCTTCAGCTGCGCGTCTCCATTGCCTTCTGCTTTCTACCAACTTTTTCACCCCGCTCCAGGTCTGTCCACATACTTTCATCTCCTCCTCGCATGACCTCCTCCAAGTCACCCTCGCACTGACGACCAACTCGCCGCTTCCCTTTCGGGTTCCACTCGAACAATGGCTTGTCTAGTGATGTCACTTGATGGTTTCCTAAGTGTATGGCTAATCCATCTCCATTTCTTCCTGCTTATTTGTTTCACAATCGGTTCCTGCTGTGTTGGTTCGCTCATTGCCAGAGATCCCTGTTAATGATCTTTTCTGCCCATCTGATCTTGAGTATTGAGCGAAGACAACTGTTAATGATTAATTTAGTGAACAATATTCACGTTTCATAAATTAAATAAGTTTATTAGATATGAGACACGCTTATATGACAGACAGTTTTAATTTAACTGGATAACGCTTCGAGCTCATACTAATAGCTGCTCAAAGTCACACGTCAATGTATCCACACACAACTTCCTAATTTGATATATATATATATATATATATATATATATAGGGTTTATCTTTACTCTATCCTGGTTTTTCAATTGTTGCAACTTCACACAGATCTGGAACCGGTATTGCGTTGTCCCTCTTATTGCATGTAATGCGTGTTGACTCGATGAACAACGATTCAGAAAAATATCCATCAACATTACTTCATCCCATCCTACAGTGTGAAAAAATTGAAGTACATATGCATGGCAGTAGTCAGTCAATCTAGAACATGTCTCTCGCATGCCCAGCTTCCGTCCTTCTCGACGAATAACGTTAGCCAACACATCCGGTTAGGTTGGAAAAGAATTTTTCTATCACCCAATCGAAACTTGTAATCAGTTCATGAAATGTCTCACAGTTAGTTTAAAATGTAGGCTTCCTGGTTGGTGGTATCCTAGGGATTCTAAGAACCAACAGCTTGAAACTGTTGGAGATATGGCTGAGAATCATCTTCAATGGCACAGATAACATTCATTCTTTGTAATCTTCCATCCACATCTATTAGTCTCCCTCAGATTTGAATCCTTTTTTCTGTCTTTTGTCTACGCCTTGTGTGTTAAATGAAACAACTGACAACTTGAACTAAGGCAGTTCTGTGATAAGTTCTACGCTGAAACTCATTCAATCATAGCGATAGACAAAGTCTTTCTAAATTATTTAACCCATAGGGGTAAATCATTCTACGTATGACAGGATTCTTATGTTCCAATAAACTAGATAACTTTGTCGACGTGAGAAGTCACGTGGATACATTAAAATATGAGTATGCGCAATTAATTGTCCTCAGGACGTCATCATCCAGTTAAAGCTTCGCTCTATACTGAAGATCAGATGTCCGAGCCGGAAAGAATCACAAACAAGGAACTATGGGAACAAACAAAACAAGAACCAATCGCCAACCAACTAATGTGCAGGAGAAAGTGGAGATGGATTGGACAATCGCTCGCTGAGGAGGCCGCCGCTGGGTGACATCGCGCGCGCATCAGGACATTCCTCGAGTGGAACCAGGTCGAAAGGGAAGCGGCGAGTGGGACGTCAGTGCAATGGTGACATGGAGATCGTGTGAAGAGGAGTTGAAAGAGTATGGACTAAGATGGATTCAGGTGAATAGTACAGCAGAATAATAATAATAATGATTTACTTTATTCCAAAAACAGTACTTGTGATACAAAATGGAATTTTCAGCATTAATCACAATATTGCATCTAATTTCCTCAAATTATAAATAAAATTAATCACACAGAAGGAAGACAGAAGTGGCAAGTGCAGACGTGCAGTTGAAGCCCTATGTTCCACTAGGAACCCAAGGAAGCAATAGTAATAATAATATGGAATTCCAGTCTTATTTTAATATTCGCAAGTTAGTGGACTCAGAATGTGAAGAAAGTTTAAGTTAAGCAAACGAAAAGAAAACATATCAAGAGTTGGTTTGCAGGGATTTAGATTGGTTACAGGATTCATCACGAGCTTATATCAGTTAGAGAATCATTGGAAAACCAGCTGGGAGTACCGTAGAGCTGTTTCATCCAAGTGTTTAAGACTCTTCACCAGTATGTACCCACCAGGGTTCGAGCCCAGGGCCTTCCGGTAACAAAATGAGCTCATAAACTGTCCATGAATTCGAACTTCCGCCAATTAGTGATATACATTTAGTGCAACCACCAACCAATGTCACAGGCAGGTAACTGTCCTCCTGTCTGAAATGGTGGGTACTGATGAAGAGTCTCCAACTAGGACGAAACAGTTGTCCAGTACTTCCAGCTAGTTTCCCAATGGTTGCCTAACTGATGTCAGCGCTCATGATCAATCAGTCCTGAAAAGGAAAACATACACCACATACATTTATAAAAATAACCCGTATGATTAGACAACTAACTTACTCTGTCTATTTCGTTTATGCCTATCAATATGATCTTTAAGTTGAATACGTATTTGTCGTTCATTAGGTAAATTTGTAATAAAATCATGTCGAAATAACTCTGAGGTATTTGGACGTTTATGAAAATCTTTAGTTAAACATTTATTAACAAAATCATGAAATCTTGGTGTCCAATGTCGTGAACCATTTGGTGCTTGTTTCAAACGTGGTGGAGAATTACGCATAATAAGAAAAAGTGCACGCATTGGATGCATTTCACATAATGGTGGTCGACCTTCAGCCATTTCTAAAGCAGTTATACCTAATGACCAAATATCTGAACGTGCATCATATGTACAACTGGAGTCTTGTTCACAATGGATTACTTCAGGTGCCATCCTAAAGGGATAAAAGAAAGAGAAAAATTAACATTAATTATAACCAGAATAAAATGATGATTTAGAATTCAAACACATTTCAAATAGGGAGGCCTAAAAAAATGTGTACTAGTAATGACGGCAGCGCCATATCATGAATTAACAAATTTAGAATTCACGGATAATTGAATTCCAGTCGAAGTGATTGAATGTTCAATAAACTTCATCTCGTGACCTCCCGTCAAGGTTGAACTCCTGGTGAGATGTTATGGGTGTATCTCAGGCTAAAAGTGGAGATCACTATTCCTTGAATGTCGTCATCTGGAAACACCGGCTCCGGTGGCTTGGACATGTGCTCCGAATGTCACCCCAGAGGCTTCCGTACAGGTCTCTGTTCGCTAGCCCTGGGACGGGATGGAAAAGGCGGAGAGGTGGTCAGTCCATGACGTGGCGTCGTGGGATGAAGGATTTTTGTGCTAGATTAGCATCGGTTGGTGTGTCACGACTCCCTGGTTGGGGTCCGAGAGATAGCTCAAATCGATGGCTCGAAACGTTATCGGATATGGCCAAGAATCGTAATCAGTGGCGAATGTGTTGCGATTTCCTTCTTTCTTCCCTTCCCGATGATAGCTAACGAACACTGTTTGAACTTGTTAAGCATGACTGTTTTCCTTCCAGATGAAGTTCTTTATCCGTTCTCTACTTATATTTTTTTCTTTTCCTTCTTTTTTCTTTTGATCTATGTTGTTTTATTATTATTGTGTGGCGCATCTTTCTTGGTGCCATATTGTACCAAGTTTTTTATGCGTTTAAATAAATAATAAATAAATACTCAGGCTAAAACGAAACAGCTGTCCAGTGTTCCCTGGTTTTACTTCGTGATCAAACGTATAATCAGTCGAATAGCTGGAAATCAACACAACCAAAAGAACTATAGAGTTGTCAAATGAGAAGAAATCAAGTGAATCAAATGAAGGCTTGAACATTTAAAAAGAACAACCTTAAATCATCTAAGACGTGGACATGTCTTCTGCAAGACACCTAAATACTGGAGAAATGGATTAATTTGTGAAAAGAAGAGATGGTGAAAGGCCCCTGTGAAATAATATAGAGAAAGCACAATACGAGAAGGTAAAAGAAGCAGAATACGAGTGGTTTGTACAAATGGAGATTCTCAATTGAACAATTCCACATCGAAATACCACTGTGTTCTGCCTGTACACTTCACCAGGCGCATCTATAATCAACAGTCAATAGCAGACTGGTAAAAAAAATGAAACGAATCCTAATAATTCCTGCCTTATTCATCGTCTTCGCATATTGCTTAAGTTATGTTATTGTCGTGTTATCCTGCCTTTCTGTTAGCGTTCTATTTGTGTTATCATCAAGTGGAACGATCACAGTTGACAGTGAACGATGTGATATTCAATCTCTGACATATATCTATTGTTTGATAAACACAACAATGTGTATATTATAGGTCTTTTTTATACGAAAAGAGCACCAAAAAGAAAAAGCAAATAGTGTGAAGCATTGTGGGAATGCAAAACTTATGTGTACACTAGTATATATATATATATATATATATATATATATATATATTGCTTAATTGAGGAGAAATAGATCTAACCAAAAATGTCATTTAGTGAAATTTATTTGTATAGACTAATCAATAATAAGATTTAATAGTGTGAAATATTCCCATATCATGAATTAAAAGTCAATCTGAACGAAGAATATTCTCTTCAATAATTTCTCTTCTACTCTGTACGTCTTTCCCTTTCCTTCAGTAGCCGTCCAATAATCACCAAGTAACTCAAAGACAGCTTACCTAACCTTAGCTCTTCTTCATGTATATATTATTTCAATTGTTCCTTCGGGTTCAAGTTATGTAGGACTTAGGATTAGGTAGGTTTGTCTACGGGTTCGAGAACATTTACTAGCTTTGTTCAGCAGGAGGGAAATCAGGTGGATAACAAGCTCGATCCTATCACACTTGGTCGATACTGGACATCGTATAGATGTCAACAAAGTTTTCAGGGTTATATACCGAATTCCGAAGTCGTTATCACGTACAGCTCGCTTACGTCTCCTATATATAACTGAAGTTGTTGCAATAAGATTGACTAAACCGGAACTTTGTATAGAAAAAGAACACGTCTATTCACTATTCCTACCGTGGCCAAACTTGGATTGATGATTGTTCTTCTCACCAAGAGTGCTTCTTTTCTTTGACCCTAGGAGCTTTTTTCCTTTGCTTATCACAGATATTATCATTCGTCATAATTTATACCCTTCATGAACACATTCTCTCCACACTATCGAATTTTCCATTTATACCATCCGGGCTTATTATTACTGATATTGTCTCTTTTCTCAATTTATGCCTTCACCTGTTTCACCTCAGAAATTCGTCATTTCATTAGGAACCTCTCATTGCCTACATACTAATCTGTGCTAGCCAATCGCCTGACATCTTTTATAACCATGAACAACTGACTTGTCAATTCTCCTGCCCCACACTCTACAAACCTATTATGACTAGTCACCATCACTGTCTTCCATTTTACTGGAATATTTTGTAATCGATTGTGCGTCGGTGGCACAGCGGGTAGGACGCTCGCCGACCATACACATGGTCCGGGGTTCGATCCCCGGCCATCGACTCACTCCTTCACCTCGCTAAGCCAGAAATAATGCTGGTAAAGAGGAAAGGTTGGGCATGAGGCATTCTAGCAACCCCATCCTGTAAAAATAAAAAAACACTACTACAGAAACTTCAAGCCACTAGCTTGAAGCCCTATGTTCCACTGGGGACGTGAAGGAAAAAATTTTGACATCCCATAACTGCAAATCTGTTATTCCACGTAAAAAATGTATCCGCCGCATATCTGGTCATTATTGTAAGGACGACAAATATTATATTTTATAAATGTAGGAACCTGAAGAGAAATTATTGATAAATAGAATATTCTTCGTTCAAATTGACTTATAATCAAAAACAAATTCACGGGGAATAATTAACACCATGGTGAGTCAGTGGTTCAATGGTAGGCTGACCACGCGAACAAGCGAGCTGAGGTCCGATTTTCGGTCGATACACCTCTAATCCTACCTTAGCCGGTATTAAGACAGTTAAACAGATAAGCTTGGAGATGCGGTTAGCAGCCCACCCCCCCCCCCATTGCTACTGACATTAGATTAATACAGGCAAGTGGCAGAAAACTATAATTATCGTGCTTCTTGGCGCTCATCAGTAATAATGTGTAATAAAGTGTTAACGCAGTGAGAGCTGTTTGAACATTGATCAGCCCTATTGTAGAACTGTAATGAATGATACACATCAACTGGTGACTACTAGACAACAATTAACAAATGTCATGCGTTTAGAAATTACTGTTGATAGGTTTCAAACAGTCACTTGTGAAATATGGTCAACAAAGCTAAGTAAATCATTATCATGGTGCAGTTTCCGTTATGGCAATAATACAATCTAGTTCCATAATTGATACCCAACAAACTGAATGTATCAGTGCTGCAGGGATATGCAAGACTGAACTAATATAACATTGCATGAAACCGGTAGCTTCCAAGTCTTTGTTTTAGGTACAAAGTTGAAAGTGTCCATCACACACCGAGATGATTGTGTGTACAGTGTAAATAGTGGTAATTTTGTGATAACTTCCTTAGCCTGAAAAATTTTATTCACCCTTACATACTGGCTACCATATATACATATTTCCTAAATAAACACAAAATTACTGCATAAGGCCTAAGGATAATTTACTGTAACGGTGAATGATTTGAAGGGGAGTGGAAATCTGCCTCATTGCAGGATTCGAACCCGAAGTCTCTGCAATTACTATTCTGGCACTGAAGCACAGCAGCTGCGACACACCAACAGTTGAACTGGAGTCATCAATTCACTGCATTCACCACGGATGATGATGCCCAACTGAATTATATGGTACTGTCGATTTTACCACTACATTATCAGCTGTCCACTCTGAACTTTATGCCTTCTGATGACAATACTAATCATACTTAATTAGAAAAAGGCGAGGAAATGAATGTCATCTGAGATAGTTTCCAGCTGAAAGAAATTTACAAGTGTCTGTTGTTTATGCTTGTATGTGCATATTAATGTTTTCGCTTAACACAACAACTAACCAACCTTCCACCTCATATTTATTATTTAATTAAATTTGCACTTCCCTGTTTAGTGATAGGACCAAGGTGCTCGGCCTCCGTTGACATGTTAGCTCCCTGTTCAGATACTTCGACGATGTCTGTGGATTTAAATTTGGTAGATGGTGACTAGAACAGTGGAGTCCAGGAAGCGTATTTCCTCCTATATGAGACTCATCAACATTACTCCCGCCCCACAAGGAGCCAACAGAGACCAGCCACTTTAGTTCAATCAACCAAAGGGAAAGTCCAAACTGAATTAAATAATAACTAATACCTTGAAAGACGACCCTGGTGGAGCTATATGGCTTCACAGTTCACCAAGTGCTCGAGAAATGAGCTGAAGAAAATTTTCTTTATCGACGAAATCATATTCTGAGTATTTATATCAACAGTGTCACACCCGCCCCCCTTATTACTAAATATCAGACTATTATGTATTTTCGGTCAATATGAATACGACTGTACAGCCGTCTTTCAAGATTATCGACAAGGCGAGGCCAAATGGTACAAAGGGCTTCAGGCTTCAGCATTTGTGTATGGCGGAGGCGTTGGTAATTCTCTGCGTACAGCGGAAGTATGTTCAGTCTCTTATTCCCCCATGGTCTTAACCTATTCATTAGTCGTTTCCTGTAAATTTTTTATTTTTAAATTTAACTTTTAGCTTGCTTTTACTTTAACCATTAATTCACTATTATCACTGTGATATGTACCTTTTGTACATGTACATGGAGTGTGGCGACTCGAACTGCCGCACATATGTGCAAAGTTCTATGTGGAAAATAGACAGACAGACATGTTAAGACCCTACTCACACGTGTTAAATTGACACTC